TTTCACTGTTCGTTAGATTATAAAAAAATAGACAGCATGAAGGATTTGCAAATAGACATATTGCCAAGAAAGTTATTTTTATGGCTTTGCTTTATCTATTTCCGTAAGAATTCCTGAAGACCAAAAAGCTTTCATGATTAGTGTGATACTAAATCCACTGATAGAACAGCTAATCAAACTTGGATGAAAGTCAAAATCTTCAGGGCCACTCTCAAGGCTTTTTCAATACTAAAGCAAATTATAATGGAAAGGAGAATTTGGTGTCAATCTTCTAAGTCTGTGAAATTCACACTTTAGAATTATAACGGTGTTTACATACACTTAAATGTCTGCTAAATTCTGATGTTAGTTTGCTACCTTTAAGTTGGTGTTCATTCAATAGCCAAAAAAGCCCTGATTACACAAGAACCCAAATACCAGTAGTTCACCACTGCTTTGATAGTCTTCTGATACTGCTATCTTACTGTGTACTGTGCTTAAGGAAAAATTTAAATGGTGTCATTCATAAGTAAATGGAGGACTATATCCCAAAATTTTATTTCTAGTTGCACACCTGACATACAGCAAAGTTCCTTTACTGTAGTTTAAAGGCCAGTGTGTAGGTCACCTTAGTCTAAAAATTGCAAGTCAATCACAGTTGGGCAACTGACATAATCCGTAAAATCTTCCGATATAATGTCACGAGAACGGTAATTTATGTGATGTCCATTTGTTTATCATGGATTGGAACCTGTTTCATATAAAACAAAATTCTAATGCATCATATGGAGTGATAGCCTACGCTAATTGTTTTTGGCATATTTCCCCTTGTAACCATTTTGTCAGCTCATAGAGATGCTAAATCCAGCTTTAAGAATGCTTCAAACCACAGTATTTTCCCTTAAAATGAAACACACTAACTTAACTAAGAAGCAATAGTATTCATTTTAATGCATGCATTTATATATACAACTACCCAACTAATCCATACTCAGAATACAGGATGTGTTGGTATTTACTTTAAAAAAAGATTGTTCTAGATCAAGACTTATTATTAGAATCTAAATAGCAAAATTTTGTATCATAAATAGGTAAGAATGTTGCCTACTTAGTTGTTTTAGAACTTCCTAAATGTTATCGGAAATACAGAATTCAGGACTAATAAACCCATTTCACCATTACACTGAAGCTAAACTATACAAATGTCACGAAAAATCTGAGTATTTCCTTATGTAGACAGAGATCAGGGTTCAACAATTCTTTTGCCACCTGTCAAGGGGTTCTTTGAATCACTTCTCAACTTAACTGCTCGGGACTTTACTGGGGACACCTGCAGCCATCACACATATTCATTCTACAGCAGTCGGAAGTAATGGTGTGCTGGAAGAAAACCCACCCAATCTTCAGCTAGTCTGGGAGCTACAGCTGACAGCTATCTTCAGTTCATACAAAAACAGTGCCTTAAGTTAGGATAAGCAGGCTGTTAAGTGAAAGCAAACTCACACATAACATGACTATTATTATTTAATTATATTTTAGGTCAATTTCTGTTAAATCAATTTCTGTTAAACTTAATTACATCCCTCTATGGCTTTAAACTGGGGCAGCTTCTATTAAGTTTACTTTCTCTTGGGGTTTTCACAGTAAAGACAAATAGGTCTGGCTACTAAATGAGGGCAGCTATTAAATAAGGATGGCTTGTATTGAAGCTGAATGTGGCTACTGGTTGAGAAAACTCTTTAGTAATGGAAGGATCTTGCATTTTACAAAAAAGAGGATGAAGCAGGAGAGAGAAGGAAACAAATGTTATTCAATAACTCTTTCAAAAGATATTCGCATAAGAAACTAACAGACTGTCCAAAGTTTCATGGCAACTTCCTCTGCAGTTTCTTTCAGAAACAAGTGAGTGAAAGAGAAGAAAATTAAGCACAACCCTGGTTCTGGAAACCAAGAAGTAAAAATGCATCTTAGAAGGACTTGCAATGTGATTTCAGGGTGGTTGATAAATAAAAAATCTGGCTGCATTATCCTGGAAGACTGAGAACCATATACTGTAGTTCAGTTTAGACCTACTTCATAATTCTGGAAAGAATACAATTAAAATAATATTTTGAAATAATAAATTAATAGTGTGCATTTTGTTGTTGGTTTGGTTTGGGGGTTTTTCGGGGGGTGGGAGGTGGAGAGTTATTACCACTCTGGAGTTCTTAAAATCACTCTGTTTTACTTTGATTCTGTTACTACTTGTGAAGAAACTGGGTTCTTTTCTGACACTGACACTGTACTAATGTATATATTCTGATTATTACAGCTATAACACTTCTTATAAATAAGAAAAAAAGTATATTACTTTGTGTATTGTGTTGTCTTGTGGTTTTCTAGAGATGTGAAACACTGAAAGCAAGTTTAATCTGAGTGCACAAGTGCATTGGTGGCTCTCTCTGCCAACATGTAGATTTCCATAATGCTGATTCTGTGATGCTGGAATAAAACCCAGTGATTTCATAAATGCACTCCTTCAATTTCAGACAGTTCCCGGTGTTTTTCTTTACAACAAACAATTGCAATAATTTTATATACACAAAAATGTTTATGAACAATGAGGTTCTACTCTTCCACATATGATGAGATCGTAAATTAACATACGCAGAGGATCTCTCCTCCACCTTTTTCAGTATTCCTCCTAAGAAATACAGTGGTCCACACTGAGGCCAAAGCAGTTGGCAGCAACTTAGCCCAATGACAGGAAAAATCTGTTTGGCTGAGGGCCTACATCTGATCTTCACTAAACATCTGTTAGATTTCATAAGAAGCATGTTGAAGATAATAAACATATTAGTTTTCAAATGTACCCCAGTAAAGAGTTTACTGCAGTGATTCTTGATTGCCCTTTGAGAAATTATGCATTTTTAAAACTGAAATTTGACCAAATTCACTAAAAAATTCATTTTTAACCTTTAATTTTAATCTGAAAGATGGATTTGTTTATGTGAAATACATATATTCATATTTCTGTCAACTCAAGAAGACAGAATGGTCTCAAGCTGTGTCAGGGGAGGTTTAGACTACACATTAGGAAGAACTTTTTCACTGCAAGGTTTGTCAGACATTGGAACATGCTGCCTAGGGAGGTGGTTGAGTCACCATCCCTGGATGTGTTTAAAAGTTGTCTAGCTATGATGCTTGGGGATATGGCTTCGTGCTGAGCTTGGTAGAGTAGGGTTAATGGTTGGACCTGATGATCTTAAAGGTCTTTTCCAACCTAAGAAATTCTGTGATATCAGCTGCCTGGTAAAAGCTTACACATATCAAGTCTGACAGATTTCAATGTCTCTGAAGTCATACTGCTCACTTTCTTAAAGAAAAATATAACAAAAGTATTTATTGATTAATATACCTATTATATCATATCAATGCATAGTGGTTTGGGTTTTGAATGACCTGAAACAAATACTAGGAACTTGGATGAACATGTCAAAGTACTGCAAGACAAACATTTTTGTAGCACTTCAAAGTCAGATGTACCAGCAGAGGTCTACTGTGGGCGCAGGGAAATGAAATACAAAGCTCCCATCAATCTGTGTTGAGTATAGCAGAAATACCACTTGCCATCTTGTTTTGTTCACACACAACAAAGGTCAGTCTAACTGCCTTGCTCCAGGTTTAGGAAGGGAATGAATAGGAGTGATAGAACTATTATGAACAGAGAAGCAAGTTGTGTCTCTGAAGTTTATGCGGTTATACACACTTTAGACCAGAAAAGTTATGGCTTCATTTACTTTCCAAGATTTGGTCTTGTCTTCCTCAGATTCTACATTTTTAAGAAGAGAACATATTTCAAGGATTTCAGAACAAGAAGGTACAGTTTAAAAGATTACAGACATCTTGAGTCCCGTTTTGCTGAATTATGATCTAATCTTCTCCATTGAATACATTAAATTAATGAGAAATTAGAGGTACACAGTTATCAATATGCTTCATTATATGTAACAGTGTAATGCATAAGTTACAATGCTATGAGAAAGAGGATGTAGCATCAGTTATAATTGTGCAAAAATATTTTAAAGTTTGATAATTCTTTTCTTCATATAAAACTTGCATATGCTGCTTTCTGTAACAGTTTCCTGGCTAAATTGTCTTTGCTATGTGATCTAGATACGACTTCCCAAGGTATTTTTTCACTAGACTCCCTTATATTTCTGCACTTCAGAAAGCAAAGCTTTATCTCAGGCTTTCAAAACAGCAAAAACTGGGTGGATTTTTTTTAACACCCTTTAACTTACAATGAAAAAGTAATGATCGTGATAATCCAGTGTTTTGTCTATTTTTTCGACTGCTATCTGAGGAAAAAGTCATGGATCAGGACATCAAATGTGCTAGAGGGAAAGAATTGCCTCAATTTTAGAAAGCTTTCAACTTAAGTAAAGGGAAAGACAAGGGACAGATAGGAGAGATAGAGTAGGAACAGTTCTAGCCAGAAGTCTAACAAGTGAATCTTCTGTAACTATGAAAGCAGTGCTCTTTCCTATGTCCACACCAGTACCTTTCACAAATAATATTCATAGTATGGCTTATGCGTATAACATAGATCCCAAAATCTGCAATTCTATGCATTATCAATAACTGATTTTCAAAACAAATTATGAAAAGGAAACTTTTTTAGCTTGTGTATGTTGGGAAAAAAACAAAACACAACAAACCATATTTAGGGCATAAAAATTTATGTGTTCTGAGCATAAGTGAAGAGCCAAATTTGGTTTTATGAAATTGATATAAAGTATGTTTAATTAATTCAAATAAATTATTCCAAATTGATCACAGTGCAAATGAGAATAGAATGTGGCACATTCTATTCTATGGCATGCACAGGCATAGGATAAAGATGACAACAGATAGGTAGGTGGATATTTGATAATGGAGAGGATCCTACACTCAAAGAAATAGTTTAATTAGTGCCATAAAAATTTTACAAATAAAAGAAGAGGAAATCAATGCTTTACCACATGGAGTTTTATATTTACCTGACAAGCTCGTTATTCTCAGAAATGGCTTCCACGTAGCTCTTAAGTGCATAATAATTATGGATGTATTTCCGAACAAAATAGCCTCGCCACCTCTTCTGAATCTAGAATAAATAAATATTTGTTTAGTATATTTCAAATAAAAAGTTTGTATGGATATCAAATATCTGTTGTATTTCCCAGATATTATGATTTTCTTAAAAGTGATATAAAGTAGAAGCACCAATATCTTTCAGTGAAAAAATTAGGGTATGTTCTAACATACCATAGATAAATGGTGATATGGATTTACTATGAAATGCCAACATTAAAAAAATTATATCAAGTTTTAGACCACCATTTGTATTGGGGTGAATAAAATGAAAAGAAGTGTCTGCTACTGCCAGTGGTATTGCTCTATGTAAGAATGGTAAAAAACAGACAACAGAAATGGTATTAGTTCTCAGGTACAACACACACTCCCTACTGAGTCACCTCACCAGTATGTTCTGATACACTCTCACCTTTGTGCTCTGGATAGAATCTAAACTCAATAGAAGTCTTCCCAGTAACTCAATGAATCAGGCTTTCTGGAAACATAATTTACAAATTGCAGTTCTTTCATCTCCAATGTACGATGATGCATGTCTATCTGTGGCACATAATTATAATCTTCTCACAAAATACTACTCCTCCTGCATAACAGATAAAGCTTAAACTGAAAAAGAAAACTTCTTAAACTGTAGCTAGTTCTAAAGTTGTATTAAGAATAGAAATTAGCTAGCATCCTTCAGAAAGGATTAATATAGTGGTGCATTATAAAAAGCATCTGTTAAAAAAAAAAATACAGAAAAAAATAAAAAAAAATTAAAAAGATAAAAAAATACAGTCTATCTTGACTTTGCTTGAGAATTTATTTCATCAAAACATCTTAAACTTTCTCTGATACTTAAAAATTCCAGTAATTATGTTTCTGAAATTATTACAGGTTTACTGGTTATCTATTTTGTGAGAAGGGAAAGTAAGTATTAATTAGGTAAAACATTATAAGAACTGTCACTTGGTTTGCCGTATTTATCCCTATGCCATGATATACAGGTGGAAGATATAACTTGCTCTACTCAGTCATGCTGAGATCTGCTCTTAATCCTCATGTTCTTTCCCATAGGAGGTTAGTGTATTCTAGATCAATACATCTGAAAAATAGATTAATGATCTTTTCCTCTGTTCTCAGTGGCTAGTTCCTCTTTTTTTACATTCTTCCATCCTTAAACTTATTTATCTTCCTGCAAAATATTCTTTACTTTCTTCCTTGCACTTTCTCTCCTTTTTTTTCACAATATATTTCTAATGTAATCTCTCAGTTTCTAGCTTCTAGTCTGTATTTTCTTCAGTCCTTCTCCAGCTTCAACCTCTTTGACCTTCACCTCTTTGAAATCTTAAGAGACACAACAGCTGAAAGGCAACATCTACATTACAATAGCAAGAATATTGAGGTCTTAGTATCCAGAAGTAATTCCCAGGTGAGAAGCTACTCACTTTCACCAAAAGCACTGAAGAGAAGAATGGTGTAATTTACCAAGAGCCCTTCTTTTCCTGTGGGCCTCTGGCTACTAGACTTTTCAAGAACTTAAAGCTCTTCAGTGTCTCTACCGGAAATGTTTGTGTTTTTTTTTCTTTATATCAACAGTTCTCTTTCCAGAACCAAAGTATGACTTTGTAAGAAGAGTGTAAACCATGTGTTTTTATTGTTAGTTTTTTTCTTACCCTATCTCATATTCCAAAGAAGCATGTAAAAAAAAAAAAAAAAAAAAAAGAGAGGATCATGTTTTGTTTGTTTGATTCAGCAAGATGGCAGGAGAAAAAAAAGCTGCTCGTTGCCTCCACTATTAATCAACCTTTGCACTAAATGACCTCAGATTCTGTATCACCAAGTCTTGCCAGTGCTTGTCAGTAACAGGCAAAATGCCCTCTACTCCTTCCAGTTCCATTTCCGTTCAGTTCTGTGATAACCACTGTGATAACTGACATAAGTTACTGCAATTTTTCCATCTCCTGCCATTTCCTGAAAACAGTAACACGCTGGAGCCTTCTATAAACAGACTAAATAAAGCAGGGTTGCATATTTTAATATTTTTGTCTATGGTACCATTTTGCAATCACAAAAGCCAAAACACTATACCTTAAAGTAGGAACTAGCATCCAGTGTCAACTGATGGCATCTTGTGGTACAGTTCTGATTATCTCTTTATGTGAGATTTTACACAATAATAAGTATCACAGGAAAGCTTTCAGCAAGTCTTTTAAGTGATGTGTCACCAAGAAAATGATACATTAAAGCTATTAAGAATACAAGGATATTAACTTTCAGCGTTAGTACACTCTCTATTTCCCCTTTGTGTGTCACCTTGTATTTTCCTCTCTTTTCAAATAAGGCTGAAAAATAATTTTTGAAGTTGTGTTTGTTTTTAAATAAAAAGGATTTGGACTTCCAAATATTGATACAATAAGAATAAATAATAGTTTTGTGAACAAAAAAGCACAAAAAAGGTTAGCACTACACATGCTTCTTTGTACTAGGTGATAGTAAATTTCATTCTCTTTGCAACTCCACTTTCTCATACACAGTTTATTGGGTTAAAACGGGATAGAGAAAGAGCGAAGAATGAGTATGCCTACAGAGATCTGGGATTAAGCAAAATCCTGAATAAGGATTTCAGCTTTGTTTTTCTGTTTGGCTTCAAAATTTCTCAACAAGAGCAACTTGGCTGCCATATAGCTGTGTGCTCATTAATGCAGGATTATGGTCCCTTTGAAACTCTTTCTGACATACTTCACTTCACAGTTATAAGTGCAGAACTGGATATTTATGGGTTAAAGGATCAAAACTCAAACTGAAAGACAAAAGACTAAAATTGTATAAAGCTATAATTATCTCCAATGGGCTCAGTCTACAATTAAACGCCGCATCCTACCTTTATTTAAAGCACTTTCTATTCAGAATGACCTCACTGATTTCAACCAAATGAAACATAAGTAAGAAAAACTGCATTATGTCTCAAATTACTTTATACTATGTTTCTGTATGTCAGAGATCACAAAACCAAAGTTTGGAAAAGAACATGAGACACAAAGATTCTGATGATGTTGCTTTTATAAGGAAGTATAATGTGTTATGACTGTATTTCAAGGTGAATGTTTAGAAAATTCTTGAAAATAAAGAGACAAGTGTGCATGCCCTTCAAAGTAATTAGCAAGTTTCAACAGTGATTGGTACAAAACAATTATTGTCATTGATCAGCACCGAACAGATAATTTTAAACAAAGTCATTGTGTGCTCAGCAGATTACAGCTTGTTAACGGGCAAGTTCTAAATGACCTCTTAAGCTAGTCAAATCAATGATGCATATTCCTCATTAAGTAACATCAAAATGTAAGTGGTCTTATAAATAATGTTTATTTTAAGCACTAAAACAAATGGCAAAACCTTGATATATCAAAAGCCATCTGCTCATGGAAATATATTTTTTCCATAGGATTACTTTCATTGCTGAAAATTTATAGCAACCTTAAAGCTTTTAAGTGAGAGAATCATATTTTGACCTAGTACTCAAAACCTAAATTGATTTAAACAACTTATCTGATTTAATTTAAAAAGGTGAAACAGATAGTTCTGGTTATAACTGAATGCAATCCAGGGAGACAGAGATGTAGGCTGACTTCAAAACTATGAGCATGTGTACACACACATAAGCAATGATACTTCAATTGCCAAAATCAAAAGTCCCTTGCTAATCAGTAACTATAAACAGAAATAAATATTTTAATAACACTGTGAGGCAAAACTAAGTGGTTAAATAGAACAATATGCACAGTTACATTTTCAGAACTCTGAAAGAAGTATATTAATGATTAATCGAGCTCACAATGCGTAAATATGAGACACTGCAGGCTTAGGGAACCTAAAGTCTGACCACATATCTTCTGTGTAGAAAATAAACAGGCCATATTCTTTATTGTCCTGGACCTTGGTTAGTTCTTAAAAAAACACATGACAACAAAAAAAAAACAGAAAACATTCCGTGTTTCAGAACAGTAGCATTTAAAAATTGCTCTGCAGATATGGCTGCACTAGATTTAGGCAAAGGAGAATCTGATTCTGACATTTGCAACTAAATAAAGATCTCTTCTATTGTTTTCTACTGATTTAAATTTTCATTTAAGGAACGGACATGACTGAAAAACTGCTACTTGGAAGATTTATATAACCTAATGATTCAACATTATATTTCCATTACAAATGAATGGGAACATATTCAATTTCTTTTAAAAATGAAAGACCAAATGGAAAACTATTTGACTAGAATACATAATTAACTCTGAAATTTGGTCTTCAAATGCCTTCTAAAAGTACACAGCCAACTAGTAAGAGCTGGCTTGCATCTTGTGTTTTCTCACTGATTTCTGCTGCAGTTTACTCTCCATCCCCACCCCATTCCTCCAGGTGGTAAAATTCAAAAGGTAAGATGCCTTGCCTAAAAAAAGTATAGACCTCTGATGTAAAGCACATTTATTCCACAAAATAAAAGAATTAAGTGAGATTAAAATATTTCATCCCAAGACTTACCACATATCCTTCCTGGTTTTTTTTTAGGTATTTGTCTAAGTGCAGTTCTGAAGTTCAGGAAAAAAAATTCTAATTTCTAGTTAAATATATTTTGCAATTTTCCCCATAACAAGCTTGATTTGCACTATATGTATTACAGTTCAAGGACCATTTTTGGTCTTATTCATCTAGCAAAATTCACTCACAGTATCATCAATGAGATCACTGCAGTTCCAACTCTATGTTTAGGCAATGAAGTAGTTCTGTGCTTTTCTAAGTATGTGGAGATTCAATACTCCAAATCTCATGTACTAACAAAAGAAAAAGCACAGCCACATCAACGAGCATAAAAGCCTTATAGTTTGTCAGAACTGTAAATGTATGTCTACATTTGTAAGAATACTTGCAGATAAAATGTCTGGACTTGTTACCAGTATTGTATATGGTAAGGTACAATGAACACTTAAATGGGGCAAGATACATGCAGATCCCTTAAATTCAGCTACAGTTTTCAAATACAAACCATACTACTGAGTGTAACTTTAATTTTTAACTATGTACTATTTCCTGCTGTTGCCATCAGCATATCAATCAAGTGTATATTATTCAGGTTTGCTCATTTTATTAAAAGCAAATTCGGAGCACAATTGACTTTTCATTTGTTTAACAAGTGAAGAAATATTTACCCTGACAGCCATTTCATTGTAGAAATTCATCTTCATAATAGAGTATGTTCTCTGTGAATCAAGGAAAAAAAAGGATGGCATATATTTCAGTTACACAAAGACAGTGCTCCTATTTTTACATATAAAAGATAAGAATCTTTATACATAATACATAATAAGAGTTCTAGGCTTAGAGAGAATAAAATCAAACTTAGTATTGAAGAGATAGGCTTCCTAATACATAATGCAGGCTTAACCAGAAAAATCTATGGTAGTCAAACTAGGAGCTAATGGAGATATATGATCATAAAATGCTCTCCGCTGAGTTTGATAATCAATGGTGCTCTACTGAGAGTAGAATAACAAAGCAGAAATATTCACAAGTGCTGGTGACACATAGTATTGTATGATTTATTCACTGGGGCTCTTTTAGCCAAAACTCACAGAAACATAAAAGGAATTCATATTTCAAGACGTCTGGTTTAATGAAAAATTCAAAGAAATGCTGTCTTCAGTCGAAATCGTTCAAGGATACGGATGCAGTGATGGAGCAAAATTGTGCCTTCCAACCATCTGTACTAAATGTTATGTACTTAGCTGCCTCTCAAGTAATCCTTGGGAATTTTGTTTCATTTAATATTCATTTTAACATCATAAAATCATAAATACAATGATACCATGTTATAGTGAATCCCCTGATATAGAAAACATTTCCTGAAGTCCTGGTTTCCTTCCAATAAAGTAGAATTCCTCTTATAGTGAACGAGTCCCCTATTATACTAAGCAATCACTTGGCAGCATAGGTTATTTTAATGGATACATCACTTTAAACTAAGCTTTCACATCTGTTCCGCCCTCTAATTACAAATGCAAAATGAACATAATTCACAATTGTATCATAAAAAGTAAAATATAAGTACTTTGAATGCAAGAGTATGTTCTTTATTTAGCACAACATGCAGCTTTTATGTGTTTCTCATGTTTTAGACACAAATCAAAGGCAAAAGTGCTTTCCCCTGATATAGTGATTTTCTCCCCCATGGCAAACAGGAATTCACTATAAAAGGGTTTCACTGTAATTAGTGTTATTTGAATTGCCTAGTCTGATCCAAAGCAAATTGTCTGTGGAGAGCAGCAGGACTGGATTATTTATCAACAGTCTGGGCAATTAAGAAACAGTTGGCTGCAATATGTTATTTACAAATGAACACAATGATGCTACTTCATTTTAAATTCTCTTTCTTCATTACATTAAGCAAGGCATAATTCCTGCAGTTTAATTAAGGTGCATTTTAAATACTCACTTTAATATCATACCAATCCACTAATAATGGAAACGGTAGAAAAGATATTTCTTACATGCAGAAAAATGCAAGACTGCTAAATTTTAAAGAAGTTTTACTTACATGTGTATGTACACATAAAAGTGTGTGTGTATATAAGTGAGGGAATCTCTACCCCAAAGGTCTAAATTGTAATATATAGTGGACTCTATCTCCCCTTTTGTCTGCAGAAATGTTTTCTGAATGATATTAACTGTAGATAGCTAATAGTGGAATAATAGTTTCCAGGTCTAAGTATACTCCTAAACAGTTGGATTAAATTGATAGTTTTGCTTTCCAGCTCATGTTTTCTTTCTTTGGAAGGGAATGTAAGAGTTGCCACATCACAAAATAGATAAAGTAAATGTTTAATTTAACTTCTTAAGTTTAAAAATTATCAACATATTTATGTCCATCAATGATTAAACTAAACAATCTCACACCTTTTTGTGTATTCTTCTCATATTTGAAGGCTGTGATCACTTAGATCTGAATCCATCCCATTTCAATGAAGAACCTAAATTGGAGACCTAACATCATTATGCTCTTTACATCAGCAATATTGAAAGACAATGGGACAACTTTCCTTCTGAGCTTGGCAAAGTATTGAAGAGCTCTGCAATTCTGTCTCTGTCTACTGTTTAAAGAGATAGTCAATGGCACCTAGGGTCCTAACTTGCATACCTCACTTTGGTGTGAAAAGTCCAGGCCTTACCCTACCACTGCTTAATAAGGTCACTCACAATAAAAAGGAAATTGTAAAATTTTTTTTTCAAGTTTTAATTTTAAAATGCTTAAATAAAATAAAATGGAGGACAAAACCAGGGTTGCCAATGGTGAGCAATGGGATGGTGTGGTAAAACTTGAGGAAACAGCACTAATAAGATCCCTCATTCTGCTTTGCAAGGTGTTGGACACAATGTACCACACCTGAAGTGTTTCTACACTAGTGTGGGCAGCATGAGGAATAAACAAGATAAGCTTGAAGCCTTGGCCCAGCCCCAGAGATTTGACATTACTGGCATAAGTGAAACCTGGTGGGATGAGTCCTGTGATTGGAGAGCCCTGTTGGATGGGTACAGACTCTTCAGGAGAGACAGCAGGGCAGAAAAGATGGGGGCTGGCTTTGTATGTAATGAAAGGGCTAGACTGTATGAACTTACAGTTGGTAATGGTGCAGCTGAGAGTCTTCGGGTGAGAATAATGGGACAAATAAATAACGTGGATGTCATTGTGGGAATACACTATAGACCTTCTGGCCAGGATGAAGATACGAGTGACCTTATCTTTGAGGAACTAAGGGATGCTTCCAAGTCAACCGCCCTTGTCCTTATGGGGGACTTCAACTTGCCAGAAATCAACTGGGAGCAACATACAGCTAGCACAACCCAGGCCAGAAGATTTCTAAGACACCTGGATGACAGCTTTATAGAACAGGCTATAAAGGAGCCAACTCCGAAGAATGCTGTCTTTGATCTGCTCCTTGTCAACAGAGAGGATGCCATGAGTGGAGATTGGAAGTAATCTCGGCCACAGTGACCACAAGGCAATTGAGTTTTAAATCTCTGTTGACAAGAGGAAAACTGCCAGAAAAACTTCCAACACTGGATGTGAGGAGAACAGACTTTGGGTTGCTCAGGGAGCTTCTGAGTCAAGTATCCTGGGAAAATATTTTTGCAGTTGCTGGTGTTAATGAGTGCTGGTCACTCTTTAAACATCACTTCCTAAGGGCACAGGAGTAGGCAATCCCAAAATGTCAAAGTCAAGTAGACAAGACAGAAGACCAGCTTGGCTCAACAGGGATCTTGCTCTTGCAGATTAGGCAAAAAAGAAGGTGCATGTCCAGTGGAAGCTAGGTCAGGTGACATGGGAAGAATACAGAGATGCTGCTAACCCCTGTAGGGAGAAAAAGCTGGCCAAAGCCCAACTGGAGCTGAAACTGGCCAGAACTGTGGGGGACAATTAAAAAAGAGTTTTTAAAATTACATTAATGGCAAAAAGCAGCACAGAAACAACACAGGTCCTTTACAGGCTAAGGACGGTCACCTCACCAACAGGGATATAGACAAAGCAGAGGTATTGAATGCATTCTTTGCCTCTGTCTTCAACACTGATGATGGACCACAGGGGCCTCAATGCACAGAACTCGAGGATCATGACTCCAACAAGGATCAACCTTTAGCTGACCTTGAACTTGTGCAAGATCTGCTGCTACAGTTAGATCCCTACAAGTTCGTGGGGCCTGATGGGATCCATCCGAGAATCCTCGAAGACCTGGCTGATGTCATTGCTAGGCCTCTCTCTATGATTCTTGGGAGGTCCTGGGAATCTGGAAAGATTTCAGTTGACTGGAAGCTGGCTAATGTTGTTCCAATATTCAAGAAGGGCAAGAAAGAGGACCCTGGAAAGTACAGGCCAGTCAAAGTTCAGTGCCTGGTAAAATTATGGACAAGATTATTCTGGTAGGTATTGAAAAACACCTGGAGGACAATGCAGTCATGAGTCACAGCCAGCATGGCTTCACAAGGGGAATGTCCTGTTTGTCAAACTTAAATTTCTTTTATGACAAGGTAACCCACCTAGTTGATCAAGCGAAGCCAGTGGATGTAGTATTTCTGGATTTCAGCAAAGTTTTTGATACTGTCTCTCAAAGTATTCTCTTGGACAAAATGTCGAGCATACAGCTGGACAAGCATACCATATGATGGGTGAGCAACTGGCTCACAGGTCAAGCTCAAAGAGTGACAGTGAATGGGGTAACATCAGGCTGGCAATCAGTCACTAGTGGGATCCCACAGGGCTCCATCCTAGGCCCAGTCCTCTTCAACATGTTCATCAATGATTTGGACGCAGGACTCAAAGGAATTCTAAGTAAGTTTGCTGATGATGCTAAGCTGGGAGAAGCTGTTAATTCCCTTGAGGGCAGGCAGGCCTTGCAGAGAGATCTCAACAAGTTAGAGAGGTGGGCAGTCACCAACCACATGAAGTTTAACAATGGCAAGTGCTGGATTCTACACCTGGGATTGGGCCACCCTGGTAGCAATACAGACTAGGAAATGAGTGGCTAGAGATCAGCGTGGCAGAAAGGGACCTGAGGCTCCTGGCTGATGGCAAAATGAAGAAGAGCCAGCAGGGTGCCCTGGCAGCCAGGAGGGCCAAATGTGTCCTGGGGTGCATCAAGCAGAGCATTGCTAGCTGGTCAAGGGAGGTCATTGTCCTGCTCAACTCTGCAGTGGTGCGGCCTCACCTTGAGCACTGTGTGCAGTTTTGGGCACCACAATATAAAATAGGAAATCAAGCTATTGGAGAATGTCCAAAGGAGAGCCATGACGATGGTGAAGGGTCTGGATGGGACGTCTTATGAGAAGCGGCTAAAGTCACTTGGATTATTCAGCTTGGAGAAGAGGAGGCTGAGGGCTGACTTCATTGCAGTCTATGGCTTCCTCATGAGGGGAAGAGATGGGGCAGGTCCTGATCTCTTCACTCCTGTGATCAATGACAGGACTTGGGGAAATGTCAGGAAGCTGAATCAGGGGAGGTTTAGGTTGGATATCAGGAAAAGGTTTTTCACCCAGAGGGTGGTTGAGCTCTGGAACAAGCTCCTCAGGGAAGTGGTCACAGCATCAAGCCTGCCTGAGTTCAAGAAGCATTTGGATGATGCTCTCAGGCACATGGTGTGATTCTTGGGGTACCCTACACAGGGACAGGAGTTGAACTCAATAATCCTGATGGGTCACTTCCAACTCAGCATATTCTATGATTCTATGAAATTATACATTTCTGTCTTTACTCAATGTTTTTCTAAATCTAGGTCAGTCACATGCAGAATTGTTCATAAAGCTGTCTTACAATCTTGCACCAGAAGCCAAAGCCTGTGTAACCATCTAGGTTCCTTTGCAAATGGATTTGCCCTCTGTTTTCTAATCCTGCTTATAATAAAATGTACAAGTTCTACTATTACAGTGATATGTTCATCCCTATTCACGAAAGCATAGCTATAATTCACTACTTCAACCCAAGTCTGTATTGGTGTGCTTTGCTAGTTAACAAAGGTTATTTCCTGAACTGGGGCCTTCTTGTCCAGAAGACTCCTTTCTTATGCTTAAGGGAAATATCCTGCATTTCAGCTTGTGCCCATAGAATTGCCTCTCACTCTTTCACTGGGTGTCAAATCCAAGGGGCACTACAAGGCTGACCCTCTGTGAAGAATTATCTTGCTATCTCACTCAGGTGAACCACCTCCACTTTCTGAACCATGAAGTCTTTGTATCTGTCTCTGATGTTAATACACAGGTCTCCCTGTTACTTTACTTAAAGTCAATTATTCAAAAATGTATTTGAAGCCTTTTGTGCATAAACTGCTGCTTTTCTGCTTTTCTGTTTAAAAACATGGTTGGGGATCACCTACACATGTGATCTGATCCTGATTGTCGTTTTCTTTGTCTTTAAACAGTGGCAACCAGAGAACCAGAAATGTGACTGAAAGTGGGTTGACAGAAGGAATCAAAACATGGTTCACGTTGGGAAGAGGCACTTCTTTTTATTTTTTTTCTACTTTTTTTTTTTTAGCAAATAGCTATTCGCCTAATTCCTACTGGACTGGGACTACTTAAAATTGGTTACTGAGTTGCAGCTAAACAATTTAGTGTGGTGTCAAAGTAGATCACATCAAATACTCATTTTTTTTAACTGCATCTTCTTGCAAAGGAGATGGCCATCATGTGTGCTTATTTCATATAACAATGAAAGGTTACAATTCCTGTTGCTTTAACAAGTGATTTATTGACTTTGAGAAATACTGTTAAAAGAAACTGTGATGTTCTGTTTGATTCATGATCTGGAGTTTTCCTGGGTTTAAAATTCATACTTTCCTGCAGGTGACACAAGACTTTCAGAATCCAGTCCACCAATGTAACTAAAATATTAAGGAAATGGTAGGAGTGCAATTCTTCATTTTAGCTTGAGATTAATATTAGGAAAAAAAAGCTTTATACAAAATCACCTATATTTAGAATATAGGAAGGTACATAGCTTTAGTCATATAAACACCATCCATAGCTGTTTGTTTTTTTTTAACTTAATGTATTTTAACAGTCAAAGGAAGAGGCACTAAAAGAGTAACAAATTAAATACTAGTAGTGATGCACATATGGACAACCAATCTGACAAGACTCAGCCTTTGTTATTTTCCGCATCAGTACCACTCACATTTCACAATTTTGAATATAATAATTAAAATGATTTATTATCAAGTAATCATGGCTATTTTGTGCATATGCTTTGCCTTGTCTGCTGGCAGTAGATAGCAACCCAATCACTATCAGCGGACAAATTTTAAAGTGACCAATTTTTTTTAGTATTTAAGGAATTTAAGGAATAATAGAATTTAAGGAATCATGCTAAAAGTATAATTTATTTTCTTAATCAGGAGTCATTCCAACAGTTATATAGCAAGAGCTAAAAGCAAACACTAACTGGTCCTTTAATTTAAAAGTTAGACTGCAGAGAAGATTTTTGTTTCTTTTTAAAATATTCCAAATTCAGCCATTGATCAAGTAAAGAGAGTACAGCAACGAAGTCAGGGAATTAACTTGAACTCTGTGTTTAAGTCCACCTAAAAACATTCAATACTGAATATAGCAGTCTAAAAGGAGAAAAATGTGCCCTTCTATCTGCTACTGCTACTTCGCTTTCAGGTTGGCTTCCAATCAAGCTGTCCTATTTAGTCCTTTCCAATCAAAGAGATGGCAAGCACAAAATAAAGCATTTGAGGGAAAAAGACAGTTTTCTATGCTGATTGCTATACAATTCATAAGCTTGCTGATGAGATTCTGTTTCTCTAGAGCTCTGACTAGTATTGCATAAGTACTAGTATCCAGAAACCGGATCAATTAATTATCTGATTTAGAATGTGTGTATTAAATGTGGGCTTCTACAGTTTTTTGTCGTACAGCCTTCAGACTTGGCAAGGGCTTGTCAGTTATGTCTATTTGAAGAACAATATATGAAACAGGCTTTATTGGTTAAAGATTTTTTTATATAATTATTTTCTTTTCAGAAATATATTTCAAGAATGGAAAGCTGAGGGTTTTATATGGTGCTATTTATCTCAGCTAGGTTATTACAGGAAATCTGTGCTAATTTTAAAGACTGTATCTTAAAATGTAACTGACATGGTTCTTATTCTCGTCTTAAAAAACACACAAACACATAAATTGCCTTGTTCCTGAAGTGAAATTCACCACTCGACAATGTTTTAACTCTAAAAAATGTAGAACTTAAGGGGATGTCATGAGCTGACTTCACCTAAAACATTGTCTGAAGCATATCTAAGCTATCCATGATAAGCATTTGTCTAAACTCCTCTAATAAAACTGCAGTAGAGGGAGTTTCACAACATCTTTTGGCACTATGTGTCAATGTTTCACATGAAGTTGATTTCTTTCTTCCCTTTTCTCAGTGGCTTCATGGATCCTTTCCTTTCATCAACAAGATTTACATAAATTAATATTACCACATCTCTCTTCTTTTGCAGAGCTTTTCTAGATTGAACAGACCTTCCTTAAACTCAGGGACAGTATCTTCATCTGAAGTCCCACTTCTGCGAAAGCAGAACCCAATCCAAACATGCAGATATCTATCTACCCTGTATTCAAAAATTAGAGTGTGTTGGAAGACAGACTGAAAACCATAGCCTGAGATTGGAAGAGTTAAAAACTTTAATTAGGTTACTGATAGGTTTGGGGGAAAATAGACAAGCTTACAGGCACACAAGTACTGCTACTTGAAAATATAGTTTAATAGGAGGTATGGCCTTCAGCCTGTAATTATGGTTCAATTTTTTTTTCTTTTTCTTGACTTGCCTCTTTTAACTGAAACACAACAATTAACGTTAATAAAATGAATCAAGACTAAATTACTAACAAACTTTAAATTACTGCAAAATTTTAGCATAAATTGGTAAATTAGTGTAGTAAACTACATATTAAAAACGTAATTGTTTCATGTTAAAGGCAAATTACTTTCTTCTTAATCTCCTAAACCTGTTAACAGGTTTTAGCTTGTGTGCTATCATACACTTTTGCTACCTTCAAGTTAATCAAGGGGATTAGATTAACCTGTGATCTGCTGTGTACATTAAGGCAAAGCCTGAAATACTTCAAGGTTCAGGAAGCAAGAAATTTAAATCACTAAAGAACAGCAATACGTAGACACATCAGCTTATTTAATTTTCAGAATTAAAAGTTCTGCCAGGAAAAAAAAGCAACTTGAAAAGCTCCAATCCTGCAATTAGTATCATGAGCGCAGGCTTCTGAATGAGATCTCACTGATGGTTTGAGGACTAACATTACAGAGCTGCAAAAATTGTAACACTGACTTGACTGTTATGAGCAAGCTTACTGAAATTAATACTGCTTCTCATGATAGTAAAGTTAAGCATGTGTCTGTGTGTATAAAGGATCAGGTTTAACTTTTTTTATTTCAGTACAAGTGAATTAATTACTCCACAATGTATTCTATAAATAACCAAACAATTTTTTAAAGTTAGTTTTCTACCTCCACCATTTTTCTGAAGTATTTTCTGCTCTGATAACCTCTCCACCACTTCTGTATATGAATTGCCATTTCATTCAGATATCTAAAATGAAATATATTAACAAAGTAATTATTATTTTGAGACTTTACAATGTAACATTTTTCCTAATCTTAAAAGTAATTGTTTAATGTATTATATCCATACTTATCCCAATCAGATGGCCACTGGAAACATACTTAATACATATACATGCATGCACAAATACATATGCAGACACATAGATGTTTAGAAACCAATATATACATATATTTATACAGACACACATACTTTGCTATTGGAAAAAATTAGTTACTCCAGACTCATATATTATTTCAGTTATTAAAAAAATTTAATTAAATATCTTTATGAACATAATTTGCATGATACATTATTGTGTTTTCAAAATGGTTTTAACCAGTGTATCTGATCAGTTCAGAATTTTTTCAGTCACAGACAACATTTTCACAGCTTACAAGTTTTTAATAGCTCCCAAAACCTACAATACTGTATTTCTCTTCTGAAGATAGATTATTTCCGTGCTACTTATTAGCATCATGCCATTTTAATTGTATACAGTTCTGAAAATAAAAAATATTCTAACAGTGGAAAAACATATATTTAATTCTATTTAAAAGCAGACTAAAAGCAGAATAACAGTTGTTGCGTTGTTTTGTGTTATTTTTTTCCAAATGCTCCCATTTTATTAAAATGAAGTAATACCATTAGAAATTTTGGGGAAAAAATCAAGATTGAAATACAGATTAAAGTAGGCTTTATATACTACCTTAGATAAACTCTGACTCTGTATCCTCGATAACAGCTCTGGATTTTGACAGCAGCTTTGTACTCAATTGTTCTCTCTTCATCTATGTATCTGAAAATAGAAAAGCAGTAATATTTGTCAGCATGGTAATTTACTACCAAAGCCAAAAAAATATTCTAACTACATCTTACTTTTGCAGTTTGTGATCTTCTTCACTGGGTTTTTCACTTTTTAATTCTACCTAGTTAAATAATAATGTAAAACAATATAATTTACAGTGCTGCATATTATGAAGATAATAAACATAAACAGTATTGCAACTTGTAGATCATGTACGGTCTGGAAGAGTGTACTTCTTATTCCCATAGAATACTGAATATCCATTTCAGCATGCTCTGGACTTCTTTCATTGTAGGTGAAATACATGGATGACAGTTTAATGATAATTAGGCCTGAATTGGAACAAAAATCTGTAGCTGTATATAAAATTGTATAGCCACATGACTATTTAATAAATTAACTGTGGTCAATATTATCACAATAAATATCAATTTAATGAATAAGAAGCATATATTAAGGATAAGGTTTAGCTCAAATATATTGTTTTATGACCGATACAAAATATTCTAGGTGTTTATTATCTGAACTGTGATAGCATCAACAATGGTGACAGATACACTCCTTGTCTGTAGATTTTTCTAATGAATGTGAGCTGATCTAACAGGGTGAAAGTAGAGGATTTAGATTGTTCAGCTAATATCTTAGGCAGGAATTAAAAAAGCAGAAACATGAAAGAGAAAAAGAGCCAACTGAAGGAAAGTGAGATACAAATATAAATTAAAACAATGATATCTTAGAATAATGAAAGCATAAGAAAGAAACTAGATGTGGAAATTTCCAATCTTCAGAAGGCCTGGAATGTCAGGATATCGAATCTTAGTGTGGCTTAAATGTAAGCAGTAATTGGAAATAAATGGTATTAATGATTCTGATAGATTCCAAAGGGATGAACATGGGAATCTTTTACATGGAATTACCATAGTCAAGGAAACAGCTTATTGAGTCATGACAGGACTTTTCACAATGGGAATTCAAAGACATAAATTTTTAGAGATAATGTAGAAATGAAACTGGCAGCATATTGGCATGTGCTGCAGACAGGCAAGGAGGGAACAAAAGGAAACAAAAGAATCAGAAAATATGCTAGGTTTGCAGCATTGATTAATATAGATGCTAGAGGAACTAACAAAAAAGGAAGGACACAGAGGAAGGTGAAGAATTTGTTTTTAAGTTACATGAGAAGGAAGGTTTTCTAGAAAGAGGCAGCTGAAGATGCAAGACAAATAGGTGGAGAATTGATGACTTCACCAAGATTTTTAAGAACTATTAGCTGTCAAAGCTTTGTGCCAAATGACATAGTACAAGGAAAGCACAAGTTGGAAATAAGTAGAAGGACTTCATCAGAAAGTCAGAAAATAATTCCAAGAGATAGTCCTTGCTTGCCTTCTTCCTGTAACTCTGTCTATTAGGAGAATAGTGTTTGTGGCAAAGCTAAAAGTCAAGTAATGAAAAGCATGAACCTAAAACAGATTAAAGAAATATATGTAATATGTAATTTAAGAAATATATTAATCTGGAATGAAGTCTTTAGAGAGTTTAGGAAGAAATCATTACTCTGATGAGTTTCAATGCTGAGGTGTAGAACTCAGCTATGAGATCATCTCTAGCTTTTACTTACTCTTTTGTTTGTTCATTTAAAAATATCAAGAACTGTGGAGTATTTCAACTTGTATTTATATTTTAATTTTATTGGATTTTTTATTATCCCATTTTTCTTAAGAAAATATTTACCAGATAGTCTAATTTGTTACACCTACAATGTACAATTAGAACAATTAGGTTACTATTAGTTTTCTCAAATAGTTAGTTCTCATAACAAATTGTGTCAACATTAATTGCCTTGGTAAACACTACCAACATTAATTTTTATCTAATAAATTAGGATTATCCTCATTATATTTCTTGAAAAATGAAACACAGATTTACTACTAGAAATCAAAAAGTCATCACTTAGTGCAGCATGTGTTCTCAAATCACATTAAGTGTGCAGAAATTTTCATCTGCATCTGATATGCATCAGACCTGTGCAGTACCTGGCAACTGTGGAAAAGAGATGTTTTTTTACCTAAGACTGTAAAGTAAGTCAATATCAAATATGGCATTTATGCTAGAGAGCCTCCTTTTTTCCTTTCCTGAGCAGCTTCCTAGACTTCATGGGAAGCAGACACCTCCAGAATACTTTTACCTAGAGGTAAGTTATTTTGCTGAAAGAGGTATGAACAATTTGGCCCTGAACAGGCAGCCACAATTACAGTCTGGAAATAAAGGGGATGTGGGACTGGCCGTGTCAGAGGTGACAGCTCCAAAACCAGTCTTATTCACTTAGCAATGGCAACAGTCTGCTTCTGGAAGTGCAGAAGCCATCTCTTCTGTTACTCCCTGTTAGATTTTCCAGTTGGCATTCTGTCTTGCCTGGCCAAGTCAGTCCCTGTAAAGTTTATAGTAGCAGACCAACAAAGTCTTGCTTTTCTTACAGCATAGCTCCACAAACACTTTCAACTGGCCTTGCCAGCCAAAGAAGCTGTTTGAGGTATCACTTGCTCACTCTGGTAAACACCCTTCTGACAGGATTGCACAGTTGTCATACTGCTTGAATTAAGCTTTTAGAGGGACAGATACTTCTCAAAGACTTCAAGGGATATTAAAAAGGCAGACTCAAGGTCAGCATCTGACATACAGATGTCACAAAAAAGAAAAGTAAGTTATTGGATGAGTAAGTAATAAAATTGTTTAACACTTAAAAGAATGCACTAACAAATCCTGTGTACTCTACTGCTTAGGCTGACAGGGTATTTCTCAAGGTGCAGGCTTATGGTATTTTTGCATTGTGCCATCAGTGGGCACGTCCGTCTCTAGAAAGCTGCTGTCCCTAAACAGTCAGTTTAGGAGACCTCATACCTCTGACACAAACAGAGTTCTGCACAGAGCATGACAGGAACATGATTAAGGTAAAACAACATGATTAAGATCAGGTAAACCAGTCTAACCACAACCAACAGGCAAGTCATTACAGTCATTAACCTGGCCTAATTTTTAATGGAACAGGTGTAGAGTTCTGAAATAGCAAATACATTTTGAAAAACAAATAAAGTTTTCTAGTTTGGAAATTTACTTTAAGATACTTCAATTACTATGTTCCTCCTGCAGCAGTAATTGCTTACAAGAGTACTTAGTTTTTTCAGGGTTTCTTTAAGCCAAGCTTCTCCGGAGGGTCTGTGTGCTCTAGATCTTCTGCAGAATTCTGCATGTAGATCTTAATAGATGGGTGAAGAAAGAAATATTTTTCTTTTGTCTTAACATGTGTTTGACAAGCACAGAGCTAAATCCTCCAGGTCTTACCCTTAGAGATATTTGCAAGTAGGGTAACACATACCAAAAAAGGATAACACTTGGTAATCTATACTCTTCTGCACCTTTAGATGCTTCAGATCAACTCAGATCTTTTGAGGAATTTGGTAGTTCACTGCAGATTACTGACTTCATAGAGTTGTATTCACTCTCAACTATTTGTGAATGATGAATGACTGCCCAGATTACACTGACTCATGCTGACAGGATCACAAATTTGGCAATTTTAACAGATCTATCACATGATGTAGACAATGCACAGTTCTGAAAGGGAAATGGAAGATGTTACCTCACTTCAAAATACAAATGCTTCAAAATACTTTGTAGACCACTGCAAATTCAACATACAAGGTTTAAAACTCAAAGAAGGAGCTACCCAATCTGTAAATAAGATATTCTGATTTGTTTCAGGATTTTAGGATTCAGATGCCAGCTGTGTCAAGCAGTCAAAGATTTGCACCATAAAGAACAAAGACTGAATTACTGATCAGCCCTGCAGTTGCTGAGCTGGGCTGTTTGAGGCCTCTTACTGTAAATCCACAGTTGAAAATCTGAATTTCAAGAAGCTGATGGATTATAGCCTATTCTTAAAAGGGAAACAATTCATTTTTTGAAATCTTTGCCAAAAATCAAATCCCCAGACATCAGGCATACTGCCCTCCGATAGGTTTCCATGTCTGGCTCAGATTGTTCTTTCTAACCTGAAATATGTGAAATACAAGCACAGCCTCCTGTAATTGATGCTCATTTAGTGAACTGCTGTGTGTACAGCCACAAGACTGTGAGCCAAATTTCAGGGAAAGAAAAGGAAAAGACAGCACTTTATATGCAGGCGGGACTTGAACTTTTACTGATGTCTGGGAGCTTTGTTATTCATGCTGCTTATGTTGTGGTTGAATTCTAAACCAAATTATTCATTAATTAGTGTAGAATAAATAAATAAAAAAAAAAGCCTACAACCAGACTAAATATGTTTCAGATATTTGTTTGTTTGTTTGTTTATTAGCATCACACACACAGCGGCAGCAACGATACAGTTGAATAAAAGGTTTTATAAGGCAAATCTATGCAGTATTAAAATAGGTCTTAAAACGTCTGGTAAAAGTTGGCCACCACTGTCTTAGCCGTCAAAACTCGGCAGCACAAACCATCCCAACTCGGCCAAGTGAAGGGTAACAAGTGATGGGACTGATCGCCCCGCCACTGTCTCCATGGGACATCTGGGATCTACAGCAGAATAAAGCTCTCCCGAACTCAGCGGAAGAAGGGCAGAACCGTGTTCCCCGTACTAGAAACTCTAGCCTCAGGATCTAATTTAAAGGGGAAGCTCGGTTTTAAACAGCACGGAGAATCACCCCCAGCCTGCCCGGGGCGGCTCCTGAGGCGGGGGGGGGTGTGACCCCCATGCCCCGCCGCACC